TCCGGCTTTTTCTGCTTATGTGGTGCTGAGGAATCGAACCCAGGGCCTCATGCATGCAAGGCAAGCACTCTACCACTGAGCCACCTTCCCAGCCCACTCCTTTTCTTTTGAAAATACAAGATGGAAAAATACACTGGTGACAAGTAAAAGGCTATGTAAACAGTCACACCAAAAGCCAGGGACTGACTGGTGGTTCACTTAGCTACTCAGGAGGCCGAGATCTGAGGTTTGAAATCTGAAGACAGCCTGGGCAGTTAAGTCTGTGAGACTCTCCAATTAAACATCAAAAAGCCAGAAGTGAAGCTGCGGTCCAAGTGGCAGAGCACTAGCCTTGAGCACAGAAGCTTGGGGCCAGAGCCCAGGTCCTGAGTCCAAGCTCCAGGACCAGAACAAAACAAAACCAAAGCCAAAAAAAAAAAAATCCCAAACTACCTCCAAGTGCCCACACTGAGGTGATATACTGGACAATTTAAGAACAAACTGTTATAGCACTATAAAAACAAAGGAATCTGTTTTGAAGTCAGTTATACTTGGTGGAAAAAGGTAAAGTGTTTAAAGTCCTTTAAAATTATTAGTTTCTAGTTATTTTTAAACAATTACTCGTTTGAAATAATCATCTTTGCTATGTATGACTTTAAAAAATATTAAAATCTGAGCTAGTAAGATACAAATACATTTGAAGCAGTGAACTAATTTCTGTTGAAAATCCCTCTTTTTTAATTTGGTTGGTCATAGGGCTAGCACATTACCACTTCTGAGCTACAGCATCACTTCCAGTTAGCTGGCATTAATTGGAGGTAAACAGTCTCAAGGACTTTCCTGCCAGGGAACCATGATCCTCCAGGTCTCAGAATCCTGAGTATGTAGGATTACAGGCATGAGCCACTGTCACTGGGCTTTCTTTCTTTTTCCTGTTAGTCATAGGGCTTGAACTCAGGGCATAGGTTCTGTCCCTGAGCTCTTTTGCTCAAAGGTAGTGCTCTACCACTTTGCACCACAGCACTATTTCCAGTTTCCTGGTGGTTATTTGCAAAGAAGTCTCAAGGGCTTTCTTGTCTGGGCTGGCTTTGAACCTCTAACCTCCGATCTCAGTTTCCTGAATAGCTAGGATTATAGGCAGTCACCAGTGCCTTGCACCATTTTAAAAAACAAAACAAACATCTAGCTTTGGCTGCTCTGTAGTTAACATCCTAGAAAGCTGCTTAGGTTACTTTGTTAGAGACTGTATACTTTTCTTGAGATATTATCCATGAATTTGTTTGTAAACATTTTAGAGAAGGGTGGCTCAGGCTTGCCAATCTGTCATGATTAAGAGATTCTCTTAGTTTCTCAGCTTTCAAACAAAATCATAGGCCTTGAACAAGTTTTTAAGATAGAAGTATTTCAAAAAGTTTAATAAGAAGAGTCTCAAAAGGTATATGTTTTAACAAGGATTTAGTTTAACAAAGTAAGGAGAAGTGGAAGTGGCGCTGTAGCTTAAGGGGTAGAGTACTTGAGCTGAAGAGTTTAGAGCACCCAGGCTCATAACTGACAAAAAAAAAAAAAAAACGTAGGAAGAAATGGAAAACAGAAACATTTCCTGCTCCCCATAAAAGAAAATGGACATTAAAGACCATCACTTTTTTATTTACTAATAGAGACAGTGATGCCTACCAACTGATTTCTTCATACTTGAGTTCCTTTTCTCTTAACAGTCTCTAAGACCTAAGCTTCTCTCCAGTAATAATGGAAATTTAAAAAATATATTCAAATCTGCTCTCTTTCTAAGAGTTGTCATCAATACAATTTATTTCCTTTCTGGTTGTGGCTGTCTAATAAAGCTTGACTGAGATGCAATTAGATAATGACAACTTCATCTAATACAACTTAAGATGGAAAATTCCCATGGTTAAATCAATATGTTCTTGGAGTGGCAATTCAGAATTTTATAATTAGGAGTTAATTTTTAAAAGCTTCAGGAAAATTAGTGGTATTGACAACCACCTTTCAATATCTCCTCAGAGCAACAGGAGGTTCAGGGCTGAAATAAGAAAAGGCCAGCTTTGGTGAGGATGCCAGCAAAGTATAAGCAGTCTCTAGTGGAAATTTTAAAAAATATTCAATCTTAGATCTTTAAAAGGGGGAAACAAACAACTTCACTCAAACAGAAGTGTGACACCATAAGATCCCAAGCCCCAGCGGTAAGACAGAAGACCTGAATCCTGTCATGTCATCCTGCCTTCCTGTCTCCCTCCTTTCCCTCCTCCCCCCAAGCCTCGTTCTGTGCTGGTGGGTACTGGGGCTTAAACTTGGGGCCTAGGCACTGTCCCTGAGCTCTTTTTGCTCAAGGCTAGTATTCTACCACTAGAAACACAGCTCTACTTTTGGGAGTTGTCTCATGGACTTTTCCTGCCTGGGCTGGCTTCAAACAGCAATCCTCAGATCTCAGCCTCAAAGTAGCTAGGATGAATAGATATGAGCTCCTAGCACCTAGCTTTTTTGTTTCTTTCTTTCCTTTTTTATCTCCTATTAGGACCTATGCATCTAACATTACTGGTAGCAGCTCAATTGCAGCCTCAAAGTAGCTAGGATTAATAGATAAGAGCTCCTAGCACCTAGCTTTTTTGTTTCTTTCTTTCCTTTTTTATCTCCTATCAGGACCTATGCATCTAACATTACTGGTAGCAGCTCAATTGTACAGAAAACTACAAGACTAGCTTGAAGGAAAGAGTGAAGATCTGAGGCTCAGTGTGAAATGCTACAGCAGCCAGTGCTTAAGGACACTAAGACCTTAGCTCAACACAGTAGAATGGTGTCTACATGAGAGGAAACCAGGCTCAGTGGCATGAACAGTGCTCCACAGTGGATTAGCAGGGTGACCTGTCCAGTTCTATGTAAGCAGGGAAGGAATAACACTCCCCACTGCAGGGCTCAGGTATGTACTTACTCAGTGAACCTGAGTAGGGAACACTGACCAACACTCATCTCCAGGATGCTTGCTCACAGTGCCCAAGTGGCTCTGAATGGGCAAGACCAGAAAGAGATTTTAGCAGTGGCAAAAGGCCAGATGCATTTTCCTAAGAAGCCACATTCAATTGGGTGCACCCCAGACAGGAAACAAAAATCACAGCAATGTTAGCTCCTCCCCATAAACAGTGGCTTTAGAGACTTCCTGTACTTTATCTTATGGGGGTACTGCCAGGATGCATAACATAATCTGAGCAAATCAAAGGGTAGGTGGTCTCAAGAAAAACACATTGTTCTTTCTCTCCTACTAGAGGGACTGAATTTGTTCACACCAGATACCAGAATGGGATCTGAGACTAGAAATGCAGATCACTCTGAAGAGGGAGCCTAGCCAGCTCCTATAATCCTGACCACGGACAGAAAACTGCTTAGGGACTTTTCTCTGTATTTAGTTTAAGACTTCTGTTTTTGTTTTTCTTTTTTCTCATTGATTTCACTAGTAACTTACCTCCTCTCCTTTCCCCTTTCGGAACTTATCCTAGAACCCTTTACCTTTTCTTTACCTTTTCTATTCATATGCAACTCCTGAACATCACTACCTCTTCTCATAACAACTATAAACATACACCTAGACTCTTAAATACCTGCTCTCCTTATATCCCATTTCCCTTCACACCATGTTCTCTACTCATTATCATTTCCTTTACTGTCTCTACTCAGAACAGCTTCATCCTAACCACAGTGAATACTATTATTATAAAAACCCATTTCTCAGTATATACAGCATGACTGTACTAAGGCAAATATAACTGCCAATGGTATCCTATTAGGCATAAGAGCTGAGATACTCCCCCTCCACACACACCATTGAGATGAAATAGCTCAAACCATCTAACACCAAGTCCAGTAAGAATACAGAAGACTTCAGTCAACTGAAAGCTAATCTATGAAGGATTCTCAAATGAATAAAACCCAACAACTAAGTATAAAAAGTACAAGCAAACAGCAAACTACAACACTTCTGGAAATTAATAATTATATAACAAAGAACCAGAATGAAAGCAATGAAAAAAATATACTAAGCTGAAAAGACTTGTTTTGTTTTACTGGGACTTGAACTCAGGGCCTCAAGCTCTCATTTGGCTTTTTTGCTCAAGGCTGGCACTCTACCACTTGAGCCACACATCAACTTCCAACTTTATGCTTATTATTGGAGATAAGGGTCTCATGAACTTTTTTTGACTGGGATGACTTTGAACTGGGATCCTCAGATCTCAATATCCTGAGTAAATAAGATTATAAGCATGAACCACCAGTGCTCAGCTCAAAGGACTGCTAAGAATGGTCAATAAGGTAAAACAGGGCATCTAAAAGCAACCAACAGAAAGAAAATCAAAGAAGCAAAATTAAGAAATTCAAAGAGAACACAATTAAAAAGCAAATTAATTCCATATGAATACACATAGCCAAGTTCAGAAGAATACAACTAAAAACAAGAGATCAAAGAAGACAGAGCTAAACAAATTAATGAAGAAAGTCAATGACAGATATGAAAAAGGACCTCAGTAAAAGAAAATGACCAAATTGAAGGCTGGAGAAAAAAAAAAAGGCCTGTCCAAAAGTGTATACAATATGCAAAACTTCAGGACTCACAATAGCTTTAAAAAAAAAATCAAGCAATGAACCCAATGAAGAAAGTTCTATGAAAATTATAAAACTCTGTTGTAACTAAATAAGACAAAACAAATAAGGGAAGACCCAGTACCATGAAACTGGCTAAGGTGTAGGTCATCAAAGGTGACTTACAAATTCAATACAATACCCATTAACATCCTAAGGTCATTATTTTTTGACATAGAAAAATCAATCAAAAAATTCCAAATAGAACAACTGAGCAGCCAAAGCAATCCTGAGCAAAACAATCATAGTAACAAAAACTGCTTGGGGACTGGGAAGGTGGCTCAGTGGTAAAGTTCTTGCCTTGCATGCATGAGGCCCTGGATTCAATTCCTTAGCACCACATAAGCAGAAAAGGCTGGAAGTAGTGCTGTGGCTCAAGTGGTAGAGCGCTAGCCTTGAGCTGAAAAGCTGAGGGACAGCATCCAGGCCTAGAGTTCAAGCCCCATGACTGACCAAAAAAAAAAAAAAAACTGCTTGGTAGTGGCACAAAAACAGACTTGAAGACCAAAGGAACAGAAGACCTAGAAATGAAATCACATATCCACAGCTATCTGATTTTTGATAAAGAAGCCAAATATAGATGTTGGGGGAAAAAAGATAGCATCTTCAACAAATGATGTTGGAAAAGCTTGATAATCCATATGCAGAAGACTGAAACTGGATCATTCTCTTTCACCCTGCACTAGTTATCACTTCAAACTAGATCAAAGATCTATGATCTTAAACCTTAAAACTTCAGGAAACAGAAAGGAAAATAACAGAATTTACTGGCATAAACAGGGACTTCATGATAGAGCTCCAGTAGTTCAGCAAATAGGAGGATCAATAAATGAAGACTCATCAAGCTTCTCCACAGCAAAGGATATAGTCACTAAGCTGAAAAGATAGGCTATGGAATGGAGAAGATCTTCGTCAGTGACGAGAATAGAGAGGCAGCTTAAAAAAAAATCTTCAAGAATCAATAACCCAATTAATTAGGGGCAAAGGAACTAAACAGACATTTCTCAGAAGTTCAAATGACCAAAAACATATACTCAACCAACATCCCTCAACATAAAGGAAATGAGCATCAAAATTAAGATTCACCAGGCACCAGTGGCTCACATCTGTAATCCTATCTGGGAGGCTGAGATCTATTCTTATCTCCAAATAACCACTCAAAAACCACAAGTGGAGTTGTGGCTCAATTGCTAGAGCATTAGCCTTGAGCACAGAGAAGCTCAGGGAAAGCACCCAGGCCCCAAGTTCAAGCCCCACAACTGAAAAAAGAAAAAAAAAACAACCAACAACTTTGAGATTCCATCTCAATTCAGTCAGAATGGTCATTACTCTAATTATGAGTGGCTCACACTTGTAATCCTAGCTACTCTGGAAGCTGTTATCTGAGGATTCCAGTTTGAAATCAGCCTGAGCAGACAAATCCAACTTTTTTTTGGGTGGGTTGGTCATGGGTCTTGTACTCTGGGCCTGGGCACTGTCCCTCAGCTCTTCAGCTCAAGGCGAGCACTCTACCACTTGAGCCACAGCGCCACTTCTGGTTTTCTGAGTGGTTTATTGGAAATAAGAGTCTCAGACTTTCCAGCCCAGGCTAGCTTTGAACCGTGATCCTCAGATCTCAGCCTCCTGAATAGGTAGGATTAAAGGTGTGAGCCACCAGCCCCCAGCTTCCAACATTCTTCTCTCTAATCATCAAAAAAACATGATGTGGAGCTATGACAAATGACAGAACACCAGATGTCCAGATGTGAGCAAGAAGCCTGAGCAAGAGTCTGAGGCCTGAGTTCAAATCTTAGTACCAGTTTAAAAAAAAAAAGACTACAATCAAGACAGGTAAGAAATACTGGCAAAGATGAAGGAAAGAAGAATTCTGATACATTGTTGGTAGAAATATAATTAGTGTGACCACTGAAGAAGTAACTATGGAGATTCCTCAGGAAACTGAAAAAAGAACTACACTATGATCCAGTGGCACCACTCCACTTCTGAGCATTTATTCAAAAGACTGAAAGTCAGGATATATTAAAAGCACCTGCACACCATGTTCATTGCAGAACTATTCACAATAGTCAAGATATGGAAACAGACATGATACCCCACATCCAATAAATGGACAAACAAAATGTGATACACACACACACACACACACATACACACACACATACACACACACACACATTGGAATTTTGTTTATGCATTAAGGAGAATATTGTCATTTGTAAGGAAATGGGGCCCAGAAAAATACCAATTGACTGAAGCAAGCAAGTTAGGCTCATAAAGAGTGCATTTTTTTTTAATTGTGAAAATACTGTACAGAGGAGTTACAATTACATGGGCAAGATAATAAGTACATTTCTTTTTTTTAATTTAATTTTATTTTTTATTGTGAACATACTGTACAGAGGGTTTACAATTACATGGGCAAGATAATGAGTACATTTCTTATCAAGCATTGTTGCCTCCTCCTTTGTTTCCCCTTCCTATCCCTTTCCCATCTCCCCTTCCCACTCTCCCCCCACCCCTCCCCATCCCACCAAAAGGGTGCATTTTTTAAAATATGTAAATGTTAGACCTAAAATGCAGCTAGGCAAGCATATACACAATATCAAATTGACTAGTCTAGCATACTTAGGAGATTCCACTGTGTAACCCCTTAGCACAATTAACAAGAGTTCAACAAAATGAGTACTAGGAAGAAGGAAGGAGACATATGAATGGAAAAAGAAACAGTAAGTGAATTCAATACTCAATGTAAATATGTAAAAATGGCACTAGGAAACTTGATACAGGTGGGGATGGGATAGATGGGAAGGGAAGGAGAATGATGGAAGGGGTGACACTGATTAGGGAAGCAGTATACATACATAAATGAACATTTTAAATTGAACTGTCTTTGTAAAGCTACTTGAAGATAATAAAACAGAGGGAGGAAAAATGTAATGAGATAAATACATCTAGGCAATTAAATGTACTAATCAAGTAACTATGCTGTCAGGTAAGGGTTAATTGCTCTAAGAAAATGTGAATTAGGAATTAAAGTAACTGAAATGGTAGAACACCAGCCTTTAGTGAAAAAACTTGAGGCCCTGAGTTAAAGCCCCAGAACACACACACAAAAAAGAACACTAAACAAATGTGATTTATAATGACTTACAAAATCCTTAGTAAAGTCATCACAAATTTTCTCTCCAAGATGCCTAAGGATAGAGTGCACTTAGATCGAGTCCAAGCTGGGTGCCAGTGGTTCATGCCTGTAAACCTAGCTACTCAGGAAACTGAGATCTGAGGATCACAGTTCAAAGCCAGCCCAGGCAGGAAAGTCCATGAGACTCATCTCCAATTAACCACCAGAAAATGGGAAGTGGTGCTATGGCTCAAGTAGTAGAGGGCTAGCCTTGAGCTGAAGAGCTGAGGGACAGCACCCAGGCCCAGAGTTCAGGCTCCATGACCCACCAAAAAAATAACGATTGAGTCTATTCATAATTCTCATACAAACACAAGTGACTTACGAGAAGTTCCCCATGCAGTCTCTCTCCATTCATCATCCCCAAGAAATATGCTTTTTTGTCCATCTTTTGTTGAATCATCAGGTTCCCAAAACTTTTTGGTAGGCAAAAGCTATTGAGGAGGGGGAAAAAAAATTTACATTTTAAGTTTTATTCTAAATAAAGATTTAATATTTAAAGAACAGCAAACATATCATAGTTTTTGATGCTAATCAAAACTCAAAATGATTTATTTTCTAAGCTGTCTCATTATTAGTAAAGTAATTCTATATGTTGATTAACAGGTTCTAATATAGACCTCAATGTTAATCTCTGAATTTTTACCATTTAAATATTTTCTTATGTGCTTTATATAATCTTCAAAAGGCTTATTAAATTTTTAAATGCAATAAAAATAATTACTGTTTTCCTTTCACTTGCAAGAACTGCTTGAACAATCACTTTTTATACCTTCCAAAATAGAAATATTTTTCATTTTTGCTTCAATTATTCAATGTAAATAAACATTACAAGTCTTAAGTGATTCTGAATTTTATCAATCAGTCAATCCCAAATGAGAAAGCTATAGAAAAAAAATAGAAAAGAAAAACAAAAACTGCAAGTATGTTTGAAAGAATAATCTGAAGGCTCGGTGCTCTAGCCTATGTGGATATGCACAGCATGTAAAGACTACTGATTCAACCATTCAGTGACTGTTCAAAACATATACTTGGGGGCTGGGAAGGTAGCTCAGTGGAAGAATGCTTGCTTTGCATGCATGAAATCCTGGGTTCCATTCCTCAGTACCATCTACACAAAAACTGGAAGAGATGCTGTGGCCCAAGCAGTAGAGCATTAGCCTTAAGCCAAAGAAGCTCAGGGACAGTGCCCAGGCCCAGAGTTCAAGCCCCAGGACTGGCAAGTACATACCCAAGTATATATGCTCATCAAGGCCACTCCTCTAATATTTCTAACACTCAGAGGAAGCCTACTTGGGATATGTTTGTTTGAAAAGACTGGTTTCTGAGACACACATTTGGTATTTTAAACAGGCATTCATAAGACACTTACCACTCTTACCCATAATTGGGTGCCCAGTCAGCCAGTGTTCACAATTCAATCTGTGTACTTTGATTGCTGCACTTATCACATTAAACTACCTTAAATTCATGGTGACCTCATCTTTGGAGAGTTCACAAACATACAGTATATAATAAAATATAACTTAGAAACACCTGAATTGGGCTCTGAGAAATACAGTATTAGGAGGGGAGGTGATAGAGACCAAAAGTAAGAATGCAAGATGAGAAAGACATAAAGCATGAATACACACCAAACTTAGGAAAATATAATGTACACAACAGAGTATATTCATAATGAAATACTTGTGAGAAGGCCAAAATTTAATGCTGGTAAAACTAATCAAGAACAGCTATTTTAAGGACCCTTAAATACATGTTAGAAAAACTGGATATTTTACTGAAATCAATAGTGAATTAAGACAGGTGCAAACTGGATGTCTGTGACTCATGCCTATGATCCTAGCTACTCAAGAGGTTCAAAGCCAGTAAGGGCAGAAAAAACCCAAGAGACTCCATACCCAATTAACCAGCAAAAAACTGGACTAGAGACATGTCTCAAGTGATAAGAGCACCAGCTGTAAGCAAGAAAGCCTGAGTTCAAACCCTGATACCAGCACAAAAACAACAAAAAATCCTAGGTGTGACTCAAATGGTAGAACATTAGCTGTAAGCAAGCCAGCTGAGGCCCTGAATTCAAACCCTAGTACCAAGAAACAAAACAAAACACAACAAAAAAAGGTACAAAGGTGACTTAATGTTTCAGAAAACAAACTACAATAAAACAGAAAAGGTAAAGAGTTCACTTTAGAAAGTCACAAAAATAGAATCAAAATACGATGAACTCAAAGAGGGTAATTGGTAGAACTGAGAAAACACAATAATTTGAGCAACATTTTTAGAGATAATGGGACCTCAATATAACTCTAATAATGACAGTTGACCAAAATGGGGTTGGAGATGAAGTATGTGGCAATGCTAGAGAAAAAATTAAAAAAAAATATTTTTGAAGGGAAGAATAAAGGGGGGAATTTTTAATTTAGGCAGACAAATTTCTAATTTAAAGCATCTGTAAGCATCTATAATTTTTTTATTTGTTTTTATTTTTTGAGGGAAGCATGGGCAATATAGTGAGGCTCCATCTCAAAAACAAAAATAAAAGTTAAAAAAAAAGAAATTTTCCTTTGTTTGACCTGAAACAGTTTCCATGATCCTCACTGCATAAATTTTCTACAAAGCATCTATAATTTTAAAGAGAGTATTTTCTTCTCTTAGAGAAAGTAATTTTGGCTCGTGCCTATAATCCTAGCTACTCAGGAGGCTGAGATCTGAGGATTGAGGTTCAAAGCCAGCCTGAGCAGGAAAATCTATAGACTCTTATCTCCAATTAACCACCAGAAAACCAGAAGTGGCGCTGTGGCTCAAGTGGTAGAGCGCTCACCTTGAGCTGAAGAGCTGAGGGTCAGTGCCCAGGCTCAGAGTTCAAGCCCTACAACTGACCAAAAAAAAAAAAAAGTTTTACAGGTTAGATTCTTCCTGGGATGTAATATGACCTGTATTTATAAAGCATATAAATATTTTAAATAAGTGTAACAAAGATTCAACAATTTGCATTCTTCAATTTTTAAACCTTCTCTATATAAGATTCATGTAAACACTGAACAAAATACAAAACTAACAATTCTAATATTAAAATACTTGATAAATTGAATATTCATTGTAAATGTCTTTTTGAGGCACAGCACCACTTCTGGTTTTCTGGTGGTTAACTAGAGATAGTAGTCTCCTCACAGACTTTTCTGCCTAGGCTGGCTTTGAACTGCAATCCTCAGATCTTAGCCTTGAGTAGCTAGGATTAAAGGTGTGAGCCTAGCATTATACTACATAGCTTAAGTTACTGCCTCAGAATACTGTTTAAATAAGGGATTGCAGATTTAAAAAAAAAAAATCCCTTAAAGACATGCTTTGACCCCAGGAAGGGAAGAAGAAAAGGAATGGGGGAAAAAAGAAGAAATGCTTTGACCCATACTTCATGAAGAAAAATCTATCAGTATTAAAGAAAGGAATCTAAAGCAAAGTTAACAATAAATAACAGCATTAATCACAGCCAAAGTAGTAGCTAGGATTACTTATCTAATGAGGTAGAAAAAATAGGACCCCTTGTAAGTAGACTACTTCAAGTCTTTGGAGGTAAAAGCTCAGTAAGTAACTCCATTTATCATTGCTTTAAATCACAAATTCTGTACTGGTATAGAGAGGATCTGAGTCATTTCAACTTTTCTCCACCCCCATACTGGGATTTGAACTGAAGCCTTCTTCACACTTGCCAAGCAAGTGCTCTGCCACTTGAGCCATGCCTCTAGAATGGGAAAACTTGTCAAGCCCCACTTCCTCCACTTTTCTACTTTTTCGTTTTGCCATGTACTAAAAGTATGCCTTCAATTTATAAATACTACTGCTTGGGCTGGGAAGGTGGCTCAGAGGTAGAGCGCTTGCCTTGCATGCATGAGGACCTGGGTTCAATTTCTCAGCACCACATAAGCAAAAGAAAAAGCCAGAAGTGGCGCTGTGGCTCAAGTGGTAGAGCGCTAGCCTTGAGCTGAAGAGCTGAGGAACAGCGTCCAGGCCCAGAGTTCAGGCCCCACGACAGAACCAAAAAAATAACAAAAACAAAAAACAATTTATAAATACTAATATGTTACCATGCATAGAAAAAAAAATTTAGTAGTCAAAATTAACACTCTCCCAAAGGCCTTTAGCAGTATCCTAGAAATTACTTTCTGCAACAATTTAGTGGTTTAAATACTTGTACTACTTCTGTGACTAAGAATAGATTTTTTTTTTAAAGAGCACTAAATAAAAGACAATTCAGAAAACAGAGTTTAACTTTTTTTTTGGTTGTTTGTGGGTCTTGAACCCTGGGCCTGGGTTCTGTCCTTCAGCCCTTCAGCTCAAGGCTAGCACTCTATCACATGAGCCACAGCAGCACTTCTAGTTTTCTGGTGGTTAATTGGAGATAAGAGTCTTGTGGACTTTCCTGCCTGGGTTGGCTTTGAACCACAATCCTCAGATCTCAGTCTCCTGAGTAGCTAGGATTGGGGCATGGGAGCCATTGGTGCCCAGCTACTTTAACATTTTTAAAAGCTAATATATGTGAGAAAAACTCTTTTCTATCAAACTGTTGCTTAAAATCTCCTGCATTGGCCTGCAAGTGAAAGAGGAAAACTGCTTTGAGATAAGGAAGGATTTTTGAAATGTAAAGTTTTTTATCTTAACTGGTTTTTCCAAGATGAAATTAAGACACACCACAGAAGACTATGAAACCATAGATGGTTTATGAAACAGCATAGGGAGTGGGTATACTGAGATTACTAGTTAACTTATCTTATTCAAAGTCACCTCATAAGTTTTTTACCCTACTTAAACTAGCCAGTCACAAGCAGACTGTGAACCTGAGTTCAACCACTCAGAGCAAAGGGGCAGGGCCTGCTGCATTAGGATAAGGGAGCAGCCTGACTGTTCTATGTGCTTACTTGCCTAATTTTTGGCTAGTGTTGTATTCTTCTGTAGAAGTAAATTTTGTCTTGCTGGAGCAATTTTTTATTTTTGTGTCTATTGCTGTGATTCCAATGTTTCTTGAAGACCATACTTATAACATATAATGAATTGATTGGAATAGAAAACAAAGAGACTTGCCCCTGGGGACTTATTTACCATAATAGAAATAAGGATAACATTATAGAAGACAAAGCAATCTTAAATACTTATATGTATCATCCAATATGTATTATCTAGAATCACTTCCTATTATCTCTCCAATTCACAAAATTCTTATTAGTTCTCTAATTCACAAAAGCTCTTAACCAAAGTCTGGGTATTTCAGTATTTCTAGCAAACAGGGTCTTCTATCTTCAAGACAGGTGTGAATGGACAATGTTCTTTCCTTCAGAAATAAGTATGGCCTGCCCTGTCCATGTCCAAATTAATCAGTAGCATCCTAGCACAATGTCTTAAAAAAAAAACAACCAATAAGTCAAATTTCTGCTCAAGTTAT